CCCCAAAACCCCAAAACCCCAAAACCCCATCGAATGTATATATTATCATAGCTGTTTATAATTTCAAATTTAATTTTATCAAAACAAAATGAACTCTTTCAACTAAAATTTAGACCATCCATTTTTTAAGGACATTTTCTATGAGATCTTTGAAAGCACATTTCAAACCCAGTCCTAAGATTTAGTCGTTTGGAATTCATGCTATAAAAAGTAAAGTGAGGTATGGAGCTTCGAGGATGCCTAGAGAATTCTAGACTAAATCACTGATTAGTTTCAAGATGGAAACCAAATGCCTTGCCCAGCATCAATCTATGAAGATAATCAAGGAGACAATATGAATGATTTCTATTTGAATTCAAGCAGAAGAAGTTTTGAGAATTAAGATCTTAATTTAAGCAGAAGTAGCATGAGAGATAGCAACAAGAAGCTACATGAGTATGTTGAGCAAATGATAACTATTGACAAGAATGAAGCCAATATGCTTGGACTAGTCCCTGCTAATGACTTGTAGAAATCAACTTATTCAGAGAACAAAGACTTGGCCCTTATCAACGAGTAACCAAGTGAATAAGAGCACTCTACTCTTAACTAAATGAACTTAATAAACTAGTTTGGCTCAAAGCAAATTGAGAATAATTGTGAAAGCTCAGAATTAAATTCTGCTATGAATGATGCTGAAATTAAAAGCAATTTTCCTATTAATAATATTGAGGAGAATTAAAATTAATCCCAAATTAATAATGTCAGCTAAATTTCAATAGTACCTAGTCCATAAATAGGTCCATAGAAGTAAATTTCAAAAAATTTAACTTCTAGGAAATCTAATGTTCAGCAGATGAAGACTATCTCAGAGAAACCAGAGATTGGAAGAAAAATATTTCACAATCAGAAATTCCCTAAATAGGAGAAGTCTGAGATTTCTGGTAGAAAATCTGACTATTAATAAAGAAGATTTAATACTTAGATTTTAGCAGAAAAATAATAATCTAAAAATGAGACAAACCCGCAATTCAAGCCTAAGAGAAACGCCTGCGAAATTTGCAAAGTTGAGTTCAAAATCTATGATCCTTAAATGCAAATGATGTGTGGGCATAGATGCCATCCTAAATGTGTCAAGGATTTGATTGGTCAAAAAAACTAGACCAAAATTGGAGAAGTTATAAGAAAGTAAAACCCAATCTTAAGTAATTAGAGTGAAAAGGAGAATCAAGGAAATTATTAAAATAACAATCATTTTATAAAGCCAAAGTTGATAAAAGGCGAGAAGTTTGATGCCAAGAGTTTGTTTCAGAGTGTTAAATGTGATGACTGTTCTAAATAATAGTGAATCTGATATAATTATTAAAGAGGGAGATCCCTTATTGAATTACATATTATCATAATTATTATAAGATTAATTGTATAAGCACATATTCTTGGGATCAGAGATTTTATATCCAATTTCTTTCCTAAGGCACTTCAATTTTAGTGTCTAGACTAAATATTGCTTCTGTATCTTTCAATGCCTTCTCATCAAATTTCTCACTAAGACTAAGCCCATCTGATTCCCACAATCTTTAAAATATTTCATATGCTTGCTTGTCAGTTACCTGATAGAAATCCATTAATTCTTACTTGGTCCTGGCGGCATCCGATTTCATTTTATTGACTGTCAAAAAATATATTTGCTTGAAGTATTGTATTATCTGTTAGTTTTACTCATCCTCCATCCAAGACTTTCTGGCATTTGCGATCACACCTTGATACCCAAAACTCATCAGTTCATGAATTTTAGGCATCTTTGATTTCGAAATCTATGAAGAGAAAGGAGGGTTCAAAAAAGTTAAGTGGAAATCCTCCTATTTTAATTTTTGATAGCGAAGGTTTGTAGCTCCTGCATGAACCCACTTAAGAGATTTGTACTTAAATGGTTTATTCAATTAGAGAAAAACTTTCAAAAGCCTAGCATAGCCAGTTTCATTATCGATTCCAATAAGCAGCTCCTCTTCTTTAGGGTCTCCGCACAGATCTAGTATGCCTCCATGAATTGGAAAAATTCCTGCTACACCTTCAATGTGATCCTACAGTGATAAAGTCAAAATATTATCGTAAGACATAAATACGATGTCTGATTAGCCAGAAATTAATATCTCGCAAGCTTCATCTGAATTTTTGACACAGTGAATTTCAATGTTCAAGTCCGATTTCCTTTTAATGGACTCCAAAATAAAATATGAGATGTCCCTAAAAATAGCTATTTTTAGGGGTTTAATTGACTTAAAATCTTAAAAATCAAGAGAATTCGTGGTATTTATCTCGATTGCTTATGTATTGATATTAGAAAAGATCAAGCTATCAGTCTCAGAAATATGGTTATTTTGCATAAGTGTCTAAAGGGATAATAATTGTTTTGTGTTTAGAATTAAATTTAGGTTTAAAGTTATAATAAATCAATTTATTTATTAATATTCCATACAAAAAAAATAATGCCTACTGAGACCAACTTCAACAGAAAGAAGCAAAACTACAAGATATAAAAGAGAAGAAAGGATAGAATGAAGAAGGCTTCTCATGGTTAACCCACTGTTGATGCTAAGGTTGCTAGACAGAAAAAGCTACTTGAAAGAAGAGAAAGGAAATAGTAAGAAAAAAAAGCTTTAAAGGAGGGCAAGATGCAAATCGATAAATGATGGTCATACCTACCTACCTATCTACTAAATACATTTATTAATGTTAATAGCATTTATTTATTGATAAAACCCATAATATTCAAGCTATTCTTATTACACGGGGTTTTGGGGTTTTGGGGTTTTGGGG